CCGCAACATGATTCCCGGCGGGCCGCATGCGGCCCACGGGCCTAGTGTTGGCCATGCTCGTCCTAGAGGCTAGCTGTATCAGTGGCGACGCCATCAAATTTAACATGGCGGGTCCCTTGCAGGTCTTTAAAAAAATTTGGTGAGTCCCAAATAAATTCTCTTACATGTAATGTAGTTTACGCTTAATGAGCATATATACAATATTAGTAACTAATAAAAATTGACCAGGTCATTTGCCAGGTCCCAAGTTTTTTTACCAGGTCCTGGGACCTACGCGGGACCTGGTGTAGCGTCGTCACTGAGCTGTACGAAAATGTAAATAAATAGTGTAATTAGATTTTTTTAGACTTGAAATACTTGAAGTGAGGTTATTCCTGTATATAAATCGCCTTGAACATCCAAACAATAGAACCCAAGTAAATCCTTTTGTTATATTCTGAGGCATTGGTGCTAGAATATCTAGCATGTCGCCAACAAAGCTACGAGCCTCGGCAGGAGTATATGGTGACCTTTTGCAAATGCTATTGAATCTCTCGATATAACTCATTGAATTCTAGAACAATGTGATAGTCATTTGTTTACTGTACCAGAAATTTATGGTATAGGTCAGAATTTCTTCAAGGGCCGTTGCCCAGGCTGCTTTTGGTAATGAAAAATGTTGGAAAGAAAATTTTAAAAAGAATATATGAATACAAAATAAAACAAAATTATATTTTTTTTAAAATTATTATTAATAATAATATGCTTGTTTTAATTTTTAAAGACGTCTATTACTCCGCTTTCCCACAGACCATAGGAGAATGTTTGAACTTTCTATATGGTACAGTCCCCGTAAATTTTCTGTGATTGGTGATAAACATGGCAAATAAATAAATTTATCTTCCTCAATTTATTATAAAAAACAGTACGTACTATACAACTATGATATTTTAAAAGTAGATTCAGCGAGAGGATGGAATTTAGTTTCCAAGCCGTAATTTTCCAAAGTTTGGTTGTCTTAGTTAAAAAAAAAAAAAATTTAAGCCTCTTGTAGGACGTAAAAATTTCAAGTATAGCAGGATCATAATGAAAGGTATTTTAAAACTCCAACAATGCTCCGCTGGATAATGTTAAAAAAAATGTAAATACTTCCACGAAAGTTTTTTTTTTTTATTCTCGCTAGTATCTATATTTGTACAACATTTAACAGTGTCATTTAGTGTTGGATTACTTGAATAAAAATGTAAGATTTAATGAATATCGACAATTTACATTTGCGCCGATTGTACTATATTAGTCCATATCCGTTTAGCAACACGAATATCATTTAAAACTCAAATGCGTTAGTTGCGTTTCGATCTAAAGCGGTTTCATCCAATGCACTTATGTGACTGCAAGTGGGACCCTTCTCGATTAAGGTTTTGTTACGCGGCCTTTCTTGTGCCTCAACCAAAAAACATGTTTCCATGGAGCTCATCTCCCGGTCTACCATGCTTCAGCGATTGTATTTAGTTCATCAGGCTCCTGCGGTGTCCGCACGGGTTTTGCCTCTGCGTGGCGCGGCGGGCTAGTAAGGCCGTACCGACTGCCTGAAGCTAAAGAAACATAATGCAATCGTTGGTCTCCCAAGACGAAGGAGAGAGTTTGCCTTGGTGGAGAGGGTAAGAGGGAAAAAAAATAGCCTAGTCATTATTCAAAACATATGGCAAGTGCATCTGACATCAGCAGATTGAACTGGCAGCCAATGTACTAGCCGGGGTCATAAAAGAATAATGTCAGACTCTCACCAGAATATTGGCGTTGGTTGTATCAGAATTATTACCATGGCCACTTTATGTAGTGGATTACTGAGGTGTACAAAAATTTATTATAGTAATCAAATAAAAGGATATACAAATCTTCAGTTGATCAACAATGAAATAACAGAACTTTTTTGTTATATTCATCTAAATTTATTGATGAGGGTTCAATAGATTCCTCCAGTAGTATTAAATAGGAAGAGCCTGTACATTTTCATAGACTTAGTTAATAAAACATTTCAGAGTCATAACTATATTGTGTGATTAAAAAGTTATTATTTCAATTATTGGTTAAATCTAGGCCTACAAATAAAAAAAAACAACATTAATTTATTTAAATGATAAAAATAACAAACAAAAAACAAGTGATAACTATGATAAAAGTTGCACATTTTCATATTGAGTAATAAACCATATCATATACATATCTTACGTGAATTAAAGTTATTCTAAAAAATTAATGAATACATGTATAATTTACAAAATATAACTTTATTTAAATAAAAAAGTAAGAGCAAAAAAATAAAATTTAAAAATGTGATATGAAAGTTGGAATGACAACATTGATCAGAAGCCAAGCCTACATATTATTGTCGATAAATGAACACTATATCTGCGGTTTTTAAACATTGATCTAAAAGATGCATCTCAGAAAATCATTTGATTAGTGAAGTGGAGAGTATGATTGGTGTCGTTGGATGATGATGATGATCACAGATCTTAGCATGGCTGGTGCTAGGTCGTGAGTTGTGAGTCCGAGTTGTTTTATGTCGAGAGGTCAGTGGCCGAAAGTGTGTGTGCGTGGAGATGTCATCTGCGAGAGATCGAGACCAGTGTTAGCTTGGCCAAGAGTTGGCCAGAGTTGACGAGTCATTTTCTCAGAGTTGGCCAGAGTTCATGTACAGTTACAAGAGTGGGCCAGAAATTCTCGGTGGAGTACCCATAAGTATTTGATCAAGTCAGGACAGGTCTCTAAGGGGTATGCTAAGATTTCTCGTTTATAATAGTTGAAATGTGCTCCTGAAAGCGGATGATATTTATGATTTATGTGCAGTGTTTAAACTGATGTCTCAGACAATATCAAGATAAAAGAAACTGTATTTTTTTCGTGACTCTCGTGGTGAACTGATGCCTAATGTTGCTCCCCTAGACAACGGAGACAGGTCTCTAGTGACAAGGTCTGTAAAGAGGACCCCTTGACAGCCAGATATTTGACTCTATGTCAAATCTAATGACAGAATGTTTGTTCATGAAATTTCTAAGTTATACAAGTATAAGAAACATATTCCAAAATGAATACATGTTAAAACGAATTGGCAAAAAAACGTATGTTTTAACTATCATTGCATATTTTTTTCCATATTGATAGATATATACATATAAATTATTGTCATCATAAAACTACAATAGTGTTCATGACATTGCACAATATAAAATATATTTTAAAATGTTTAAAGCGGTTGCACAAAGTATGTTATTGCTCTGTTAGTACAGAAAATTAGTATAGTTACATTTTTATATTATAAAAAACCATGCTAAAATAAAACCTGGGGTAATTAATATATGATGAGCGTAATATATTTGTGTATGTAGAAACAAATATACAAAATCAAATATTTTATTTCTTAGGGGATATTTTACAAATAAATTATAATACTTGGAAACAAATGAATATAAAATGTTGCTTTTATTTATTGTGAAGTAGTAACTTTATTTTTAAACAGCAAGGTTTTTCAAAATAAATTGAATAATTTTTTTTCTTCTGAATTTATGTTAATTTTTGTTATTGCACTTTTTTTAAAAGAACGTTTTATAACTTTTGTGTTATAGAATGGTTACACTTGGTTTTTCCTGATAACTATATAGCCATATATCTATCTATCTCTATATATATAAATTATATGAATATATATATATATATATATATTTTTTTTTTGGTGTGTGTTAAGATGAACTCTCTCTATTCTGCATGAATTCGTTCCAACCCAAACAATAAAACAAAACCAAAACCAAGCATCGCCGATGTTATCATCTGGGGCCCTAGTGCTAGGGTGGCTAGCAGTAATCTAAAGCCCGCAACGCTTTGCAATGAGGCATGCGTTCGTGTGTACGCTCTACTTCTATCATGACCCATTCTATAATCCAACTGCAAGTATCTTGTGCAGCTGTCTGTTGGCTAAGCATATGCAATTCATTCTACTGAATCTGATTAAACCACGGTCTGTAAACAGTCACAAGTTATCGAAAATTTTGCTACTAATTTTACTTTCGAGTGATTGGTATTTTGATTTATTCTCAATTCTCTCCCATAATTGACTTTTTCAATATACATTTTGTTGTTGTTTTCAATTCTTTTTTTCGAACAAATTTCCTTTTCAACTTAATCACCGTCGAATAGATTTCATTTCAAACAAAATTCGTTTTGAACAGCATTCTTTCGCAGAAATTGTTTTCGCACTAACTTTTGGTAACCTCTTAGGACGGAGTTTTAACTAAGAGCTGTTGACCAAACGCGAGACATGTCGTATAATAAAGTGAACAAGACAAAGAAAAAGGAGATGGATGCAATACAAAATTACAAAATCAAAATCTAAAAAAACGAATGGCCTTAAACATTCCTTCCCCCCCCCCCACACACACAAGAAAATACAATTTTTATTTAATTTTTGCGTGTTTGCACAGTTTAGTCACATGAGGGGAAAGACAGGAAAGAAATGAAACAAAAAGAAATGGGGAAAACCTTCAAAAAAAAAGGGCGCAACAAAACAACGAACGTGCCGGCAAGAAGCCGTCTTCAGCGTAGAAACAACAGGGAAACCAGTATAAATATGACAATAAACACTTAGCTGCAATGAAGTATCCGAGAATAGTTTGTAAAAAAAAAAAGATACTTTTAAATATAATCTATTTCTTTCTACAATGTCTTGCTTTGTTTTCGGGGAAAGGGGGCAGAGGAGATAGAAACATCATTGTCAATGTTTTGTTGCATAATTCAAGATCCCATATATTTTCTTCTAACTTGGCTCTTCGAACTAGACTCCTACGTCACATAGAGTACCCCTAACCCAACTTCTTCCCAAGCCCTCCCCACGCTGCCCACCCCTCCCAGCACTGTTAAATTAATCCCCTTTCTTAAGCCTTCCTTCCCCTTACCTCCATATCATAAGCGCGCCCCCTCCCGCAACCCCCCAAAATACTTAGAAAAATAATAATAATAATAATGTTCAGTTAGCTTATGAAGGCTCTGACAATGCCTTTGATCGGTTTCCTACAATAAGGGCAGTCCTTCATGGCCGACGCACAGTCAGCGCACGACACCAGGTGACCACAGGGCAGGAACACGACGGCCACCTCCTTGTCCATACAAATCTTGCACACGGTCTGTTGGCGGAGCTGGTTGTTCTTCTCTTTCAATTGTTGGATTCTCTCTTGATAAGAAAAACAAAAAATCATATTGTATTACTTTGAGTATAAAAACAACAACAACAACAAAATTTATTCGATTTACCGATACATGACGCTTTTATTTTCAGTCATGTTTTGCGTTGGATAGGATCACACACGCAAAAGAAAAATAGAGAAAGAAATTGAATGCTGTCCGAGGGTGGGACTTAAATGAGTCAGCTTTGGAGGTGGTCGTTACAAAGATGGTCTAAACATATTTACCCAGATCTGCCGTGCGACTTGAGGACGAGACTGGTAAGAGAGTGTTTGCTGGATGAACTTTCTTTTTACCATCTCTGTCTAGTCTCTCTAGGATGGCATCGGAGGAGACTATTGTGACTGTTCAAAAAAGTTGAACAAACATAATTTAATGATTAAAACAACCACTCAAAATAAAGTGTGTTTTCTTTTCGTAAAAAATCCTCCAAAAATGTATAAGCGAACATGGGGAGTGGGACTGAAAATTGGATAAAACATACGTTACAAGTAACGAACTTTATAAGAATCCCATTTACTGCTCCCCCCCCCCCCACCCAAGGCTCGCAACCGATCATTTTTCTAACACCCCAGAAGTATATTACTATTCCAGTGACCCACCCTCTTTGAAACTGTAGATTTATTACGCCACCTTTTCAGAAAACAATAGAAATTATTACGCACCAAAGGAACTTACGATCTTTTTTTAAAGACTCTCATTTAGAGAAGTTATAGGGAATTTTATTTCGTGGAATCACATTTCCTTCACTTTACCCTTGAAAAATAGGAAAAACTGTAATTTTGGGGATTGGGGGTTGGGACTGAAAATGTGATAGAATGTGTTGCTATGTAGCAAGTTTCAGCGCAAAAGATTGACGGGATTTGGGCCCTTTAGCCGTTCGGTGATTTTGCCAAACAGCAGTCACAGACAAAAGCGAAGTTAAGATAAAATATTTATTAAGGATTCGAAAATTGAATTCCTTTTTTTTTTTTTTATAACATGTTTTTTTAAAAATACAAATAAATGTTACGTGATTTTTATGTTTAGAAAGTGCGTTGTTAAATGCTAAAACGAAATGAACACATTACTTAAGGCTTAAGGCAATTCTAGTTTTTATCACAGTGTGCTGTTTCGGTGCAAGCTTTAAGGGGACTTGATTTAATGTCATACCATTTAGTATTAAAAAGGAAAAAAAGGGAGTTATCCCTTGGGAAAATTATGTTCTATTTAAATGGTGTCTTTCTTATTAAAAAAAAATCATTTTATGGTGTACTGGAATTTTAGCAACATCGGTCATGATGTGGGGTGCTGTTGTTAGGAAAAGTCTTGAGTGCAAAGAACTTGTATTTCGCTTAATCGTGTATTATTGTTAAGCGTTAAGTAACTTGAAGATATTTTAATTTCTCAACGTCAAGTAGAAATGAAATGATAGGCGAATCATCGAGAACCGTATGGCAGTTTAAGAAAATTAGTTTTCACTGAATCTCTTTTGTTAATCCTTACCTAATTACGAGCTACTATCATCCCCCCCCCCCTCCAAAAAAAAAAATTGATAACCGGCTCCTTCTCATATAAAAAGGAAAATTAAACAAGTACCAAGCATTGTGTGTAAAAATGTATGTTCTTAGACATATTTTTTTATCCTTACCTAATTACGAGCTAATATCACCCCCCCCCCCCTCCAAAAAAAAAAATTGATAACCGGCTCCTTCTCATATAAAAAGGAAAATTAAACAAGTACCAAGCATTGTGTGTAAAAATGTATGTTCTTAGACATTTTTTTTAAAAATATTTTATTTGATTTCTAAACAAATGGATTCGTTTTAGGCAATAATATCGTTTGTTTGCAGATGTTGAAAGGCGAGATGAGATCATTGAAAGCGATTAGTCAACACTTTAGCAGAATTACAGCTTTCCTTCTTATAATGTCAAAATTTATCATGATTCCCATTGGTTCTATTGTGTTAGAACCAAGTATGACGGGATATTTTACAATAACCAACGTATTAATCTCTGCACCACATTCCAAATCTCTGCATCGTTTGGCAGTTGGTTAAGTGAAAATAGTTATTTGTAAAAACTTAAAAACAAAATAGGAAATACATCTTTATTTATTTTGTTTTCATTTTTCGAACACCACCAGGCATCAATGACGTACGAAAAAAAAGTGGGGGTCCAGTGCGGCCCGCCCGGGAGGCACAATGTCTTCCTATGCCACAACCAGTCAAATAGGTTTTTTTGTTTTTTTTTCAAGTGTCAAAAAAGGACTTAGAAAAAAAAACAACTATGTGTATATTTTCAACTTATTGAAACATATCGTAATTTAGAAATTTGATCATTCTACTCACTATATCTATATTAGTTTCAACTCACATTCGTCCTTGACGAGCTGGGCTGCCTGCAGCACATCTTCCTCGTCGTAGCCCAATTGTTGGACTGTGATCACCGCCGGGTCTTTCTTCAGCTGCAAATCTTTAGTGGCTGAAATAGTCGGTTTTTTTCTATATTTTCTACGGAGCAATACATTTTAGATGCAGAAGAAATGAGCAGAATTTAAGAGACTGGTAACAAATCTAAAGGGGACATCTATCATGTTGTACTGTACTTTATGTGCAAAACATCAATGTCTCCTATAATATGACATAGATTTTGTGGTTTAGTATGTTTTATGGTAATTTCTGTTTTCTGATTGAAGGAGAAATACAAGAGGAAAAGAAAAATTAAAGAATATGAGTTGGGGCTGGGGAAGGCAAAGAAAGAAAATAAATGGACATCTATTTTAAAAAAAAATGAATACTAGTAATGTTATGTAAATAATTCCAACATTGCAGAAACACTTGTTTAAAATATCTGCCAGCACTTTTTTTTTACCTAGTTATCATTTACTCTGATTCTGCTAGACTCACCTAAAGTTGGGAAAGCTGATGCCCCTGTAATTGCCAGAACTCTCTCTAAGGGTATCTGTAAATTTGAAATGATTACAAACTTTAACTTTAAAAAAAACATATTAAAGAAGGGTATGACGATTTCATACTGTCCATGTAAATAACACAACAGTCTGTGTATGGTATAAAAGGCGTGAAGTTAGTAGAATATGGAAGCAGCCTGTGTTGAACAGAAACGTATATTTCAAAAAAAAAATAAAAATAAGCAAGGCACTGGAGACTCACCGCAGTGTACGACTTGTTTAACTCCTGAACCGTGTCCACGAAGAACTGCCCCCTCTGCTGGCGTATGAAGGCACACTTGGGGAACCACCTGGCGTGCTCGACAAAGACGTTGTCCTCGTCCTCCCAGTTCCTCAGACCACCTCCGCAGTAGAAGCACCTGGCACAGTCGCCGTAACCTGTGGTAAGCGTCAGCAGATTTGTGGATTGGATTTTTAATTTTTTTTTAGGTCATGTCATATAATGTGTTGTTATATAATAAGCACAAGTATTTCATTAAACATTTTCAAAATAGTATCTATTAATATTAACTAAATTCCAATGGATAAACATGCACAAGGTTTAGGTAAGACGTTGGAAACCTACAGCTCACTTGCAAGACGGGACTCAAACCCCCCCCCCCAACCTTAAAAAAGGCAAGTAATATACAGAATTTAAGTTGTGTATAGTTATAGGACGAAGAATGAATAAGTCATTCCATTTCAGGTCAATGTTACCACTTCTTTGCCCGACTACTGGCTTATACCATAAATACAACTTAAAATAGGTTATATTTATTTTAAAAACAAGCTCGACAGCCAGTATGATTAGTAACACACGTACCAGCATAGTAGAATCCGGCCTCTGCGAGTTCGTCTGGCGACAGATGATGGTCTCTCGGCCAGCACTCAAACGTCGCGGCGCGTGCTTCTTTCCGAGCGTATTCGGTTCTCTTCGGCCTCTCCGTGATGATCCCGAGCTCGGAGTAGGTCGGTGCTTTGTTGCTGCCGGTGTTGTTGCTTCCACTGCCTGGACTACCTGTTTGGACGCTGTGGGCGGTACCTTGTTGTCCGTTGGGGTTGTTGGGATTTTCATCTGGTTTATTGGTGGCTGAAGCTGGCGGCGGTGTCTGGACTGTGGGGGTAGTAATCTCTGCTGCGGTGGCGCCTTGTGGTACGGTTGTGGGCATAGTAGTAATTTGAGATTCGTTCAAATCAGACGCTAAATTCGATGAGGGACGGGAGGCGTTTGAAATATGGACCTGTGTCCTCTGTGGATTGTCTGACATTGGGGCATTTAAATCATTTCTCGGGGTCTGCGTACGGCTTGCAGTTTCTACCAAAACCTGGGGGGCAAGGGTAGACCTTGTCGGAACGCTAGCAGGTCGCACTTGGGGATCGAGTTGGACAAAATTATTACCCGGAGGGGTCACCGAGAAATGATCGGTATGACCAGGTGGGTAATTCAACATTGTGGTATTACCAGCAGTTGGATTTCGTCTATCGTCTTGATTATTTGGAGTTTTGCGACCTTGAAATTCGCGTGGTGTGACATGTATAGACGGTTGTGCAGCATCAAGAACTGAGTCGGTTTGTAAGTTATCACAGAGCTCTCCGTTGTTATTTGATGCTATTAACTCGGATGTATTGAGAGGATTTGCGGGATGAGACAAATAACTTGTTGTACTTATGGGATCATTATCACAATCGACACCGGTAACCATCGAACAGTTAGGAGAGATACGCCTATGCACCTCTTGGATGACATCTAGTATCCCCCAGTTTCTCTTCTCGCCACAGCAAAAACAACATTTGACCTGATCATCTGACCCTTGACCTGTACCGATGTAAACAAAACCTTGAGCCGCCAAAAGCAGAGCTGACTTTACGGCGTCCTTGGGATATCTCGCGAACGTCAGAATCCTGTTGATTTCCCGTTTAAGCATATTCCACGGTATTCCAAATAAGTGGTAAGGATGAGAACTCGGCTGCATGAACACCGTGATCTCTACCGGTTGTAAGGGAAAGTCTCTGCGACGCACCGCCGTATTCAAATAATCAATAATATCGTCCTCAACATCCTCTCCATCCGTCCACTTCGACTTCGGGCAGCCTAGTTTCTCATTCAAGTGTTTCCCAGGTATTTCTTTCTCCGCGTCTTTAAAATGTCCCGCCACGAGCGCTCTCATCATACATGTATCATCACCTTTTACTGTTTCTTTTAATCGTGGTTTTGCCCCTTCATCGGCGTTATATTTCGCTTCTAATTTTGCACACCCAATCTTCGCTTCCTTTTGAATATTTTCAGCGTACTTGTTAATGGAGTCATTTTCCCCTAAATTTTTTGTGTCCAAGGAATCCGCCGATTTCTGTTTAAGTAAGTAAATGTTCAGGTAAGGTTCATGTTGGAAGTTCTTAAGTATTATCGAAGGACTGTAATTTATATTGTTTGAATATTCATTAATGTAAGCATTCATATCTTCAGAATTTTTTATAGTTTCTTTCTTCTGTTCGTTCCAATAGCTCATTAATTTTGATAGCTTTTGAAGATTTTCAATAATCTCGTCGTTGATGCTCCATTTTAAAGCAATCCTTAAGCGATTCGCCTGTTGTATGATTGAATCTGATAATGCATTGTTCTGCCGTAAACTTGCATATAAAAATGTATCAAAAACTCGGTATGATTGCTTTTCGCGTGATTTCCTTAGCTTGACACCTATTCCTTTCTTTATTTTTTGTAATGTCTCCACGTCTTTTATCAAATTCATCCCAGGTCTTGCCAGTTTATCATTAATGTAAAGCCCAAATGCCACATCTTCTTTTCCGTACTTGAAATCTCTTTCTTTGTCATCGGCCATTTCTTTTTTTTTTTCTTTTTTTTTTTTTTTTTTTTAATTTTTTTTAAAGCTTTTTTTTTTTTTTTACTTTTTTTTTTTGCAAATTTATAAAAAAACAAAAATCTCGTTAAAAAATTTGAAAATAGTTTTATTTTTTTTTTTTTTTTTTTTTTTTTTTTTTTTTTTTTTTTTTTTTTTTTTTTTTTTTTTTTTTTTTTTTTTATTAAATTTTTTTAAAGCCTTTATATTTTGTTTACATTGTTTTCCTGCAAAATTGTAAAGAAACAAAAATCTCGTGAACAAATTTGAAAATAGTTTTATTTTTTTTTTTACATTCAGTTAAAAGTTTGCACTTCAAAAGACCTCGGTTAGGACAGTATGTTAAATTTCAAGATACATTCTCCAAAATACTTGGATTTCTTTTATCTTGACTGTCGTGACAATCGCTAGACCCTGTCTTTTTTTTCTCTGGGGTATATAAGGTGGTAGAGAGTTTCCTTGCATGGGGGGGCGGGGTTATTACTTCAAGGTATATAAGGTATTTCCTTCATTATAATTTTTTAGGAAATTATCTGAAATTTCCCCTATTGACATATTCTTTGGCAAAGACTCAAAAACAAATTCCCCCATAAAATTGACTCTATTGAGTTCCTTGAGTAGCTAGAATCTAATGTGAAAACTTGTAGGGAGAAACGATTTGTTACATTTCAAAATAGATTTCCACTTTCACATTTTGTCTTACACCGTTGGAAACCATCATAAATTAATACCACAAGTGCAGTCACAACTCATGGAATACATTGAACTTTTACGTCATCAAAGAACTAAGTGCTCACTTCTCTAAATGCAGGCTAAAATTATGGGTTATCATTAGGACCGTTTTTCTTGGGGGTTGGGGAAGGGTGAGAGCCATTGTTGAGTTATAGTAATTTAATTTGGGACTATTACTAAGTTATTGCGCATGCGCTTTCAAAAATTTCCCTGTTATGCTTGCTTTGTGTTTAGCATTGTACGCTAATCATATACTTCCTTATATATATATATATATATATATATATATATATATATATATATATATATATATATATTTATATATATATATATATATATATGTAATAAATATATTTATATTTATAGATAAAGATATATGAAACTGGAATAACCTGTGTTCAGAAACTCCACACTTGACAAAGAAATAAATAATTTAAAAGGTAAAAGGTTAGTCAGCAAAGAAAATAGCGGTAAAAAAATGGGGTTAAAGGTCATTGTAATTAGCTCTTTTAATGGAGCCTGGGAGTACATTCTGCCCATGTTTATTTTCCCCAGAAAATGATTTGATCTACAACTTTTGAATACTGGTCAAACAGAAGCCGCGGGATCCTGCATTGATAAGGGGTGGTCTAACAGAGACCAGTTTATGGTGTGGCTTTAACATTTTTTCTCTGGCTCAAGTCGAAGAATCTTCTCCTGCCATTATCTGAGCCGTTAAGACAACAAATTAATGTTTGGCGCAATGAACACAACTCTAGATATACTACACTGGGCTGTCAGTTGGCGTTTGAGAGTTCATTTGCTGCTCCAGCGCAAGGAAGAAAGCGACGGGCAGAAAAGGTAGGCGAGCTGAAATTATCAGGTCTTTTCCTTTTAAGAAGGCTTTGCTAGATGAACAAGAAATGTATCAAGAAGATACGCCAATGAAACATGTTGTCTCTGTGGCAAAAAGGAAAGGGAAGGGAAAAAAATACGTGACAGTTTTGAAGATGAAGAAATGCCCGTGTCAGGTTTGCGGGAAGGAATGGATCAAATATGCAAGCCGGGGGGGTGGGTGGACTAGTTCTGTGATGATGGTGGGCGGGTGGACTAGTTCTGTGCTGATGGTGGGTGGGGGGGGGGGGGGGGCAGTGGATATGGTGCACCGTAACTGGGCACATGAGGAATGCACACCAATCTATGTGTGTTTAATTGCGACAGCGATGACAGTGACTAGAATCTACTGGGCATTTTGCTCCTTCTTTGTGGGCCCTTTACCCCTTCCTTGTGGGCCTTTTACCCTTTCTTTGTGGGCCCTTTACTCCTTTTTGTGGGCCTTATACCCCTTCTTTGTAGGCCTTTTTCCATGAATGTGATGGGAAAAATCTGTGCAATTTTTTAAAAATACTAAATTAATTTTTACTTATTTATTATAATGATCTATGTCTTTAATGCATAGTGCAGAAGACATAGACGAATTGAGGAGGATAGTTCACATGTCATATGTGGCGCCAGTACGTTCCAAGGACTTTAATTATGTTTCTTAAATTGCATTTTTTCTTTTGGTCTTACATGCCTTAAAGTTATTAGTTTTTTTCTTCCTTTTTTTCCTTCAATTTTAAATTTGAAGTTGTTAAGAAAATGTATAAATATGAATGTATAAATATGTATTTATTTATAGTGACAAGTAGAGGGGACGGTTTCTCTATATAAACTGAATCATTCAATTTTTTAATTGCCTTGTAATTGCAATTCCCTTGAAATTAAGGATAGGGATTTTTTTTTAAATTGCTAAGCATTTAAACAACGCATTTTGTCGACCCAATCTTCGCTCCTTATTTTGAAAGGTGCGCATACTGTCTGTTAGTCATGATTAACATCCTAGCTAAATGCGAAACCATTTCCGTCCAATGACGTTTAACACGCCCACAGTTCGTGAGTAACTGGTGTTTCGGTTATTATTTTGTTAAGGGGAATTACCGTACCCTATGTATAGATGAACAAAGATCCTTTTAGGTCCTTGGTTTTTTTTATTTATTGAAATGCCTCTTTTTTATTAACTCCTATTACTACATTTTCTCTTAATTTTAAAATCCCTAACAAAACAAATCTATTAATAATATATATAATATTTAATAATCTTATTTAATACAAAAATTTACTTGTAATTTTTTATTTATTTATTTACATAGATGCCGATCTATTCGTCTCTTGATAATGTATTCCTTAGCATATAAAATATAATTCATTAGCCGTACCAACTGGTTTTTTTTATTAACCTGCCAGATTAAAATCTGACTTTTACTAATTTATGAAAACGTCACATACAAAGCCCTACAGTTGTACTGTGGGTACACCTTGCTTTAAAATGGTGATAATTGTTTTAAAAAATATAATTATTTGCTATTTTCTCCTACACAAGACTCCAATGGTGTAATTGTTGGAAATATCCAGTTACACACTTATCAAGACCCGAAGTAAAAAAACAAAATGTGTCACTCCAAAGATATTTGTAATTGTAATTACATTTCCAAATAAATTTATACAGATAGTTAACCTGTTAAAATGTATTATTAGCCTAATAAATAACTTAGAACACAGCTAAATTTCAAAGAGTTAGCCCCATTTAGAAGTGTAACTAGGTGTGGTTAATATGGAGCTTTGAGACGTCATAAATTTAGGGGAGGGGCCTACAATAGCAAGGGACAGTTTACATTTTTCTCACTTTTAATACACAGACTGCAAGGAGGCTGCTTACTTCATTCTTAAATAGACTACTAGCAATAATCCTAGTTCTACAATACCAGTAAAGCGCCGTTTTATAATTAGCTGTGAAACAGATAATTTCTAATGACATAAGCTCTAAATCTCACCCATAAACTAGACCTAGTTATAATAATATAGGCATAGGCCTAATGGCAGTCAGTAATGGTACGGTACAGGGTCTTCATACAGTTACAATGTAACTTACACTGACCTCCACGACAAACCCATTGTACACATGATACATTTACACATTAGTAAAAAAAAAAAAAAAAAAAAAAACAAAAAAACTAGAATCTATTTACAAGTCATTAAAAATAAAAAAAATTAAAAAAAAAAAAAAAAAAAGAAGCGTTAAGTATATTAAATTGAGCTACATTATCAGTATAAAAGACATAAAACATTAACATTTGTATTACTTACATTCGCAACGTTTGGATAAGAACTAAACTAAAAATAAATTCAAGACGCCACTTGTTTAGGAAATTCCCGTTTCTTAAAATTGGGTAACTATAACAACATTGGTGCGTCTAGTTTTGGAACTATTTTTAGTAAACCAAAAAACTTGACTAGAAATTCAGTTATCCCTGGATATATCCCGAATACATAATTTATTACAAATATATTTATATATATATTTTTTTTTTTACATTTTCAGAAAGTCAACGATTGTAAAAAAAATCCTTGGGGAAAAGCCATGACATGGCTAGTAATTGTAACCAGTAAATTCTAGTTAACTAACTGGGCTAATTATTATTAAGCTCGGTCGCTCTCGTCAACGGGTTATCAAGAGTTTTCAATGCGTTTATGTGTTGCAAAGTCTTGGAATTGAAAACATATTATATTAAAATTAGGATTTTCATTATTACCTAATTGTAACAAGAAATTTAATGCCGTTATTGAAATTTTAAGTCAAACTAAAGACACCGATGAAAAAAAATAATTAAAAAAGCAATTTTAAATTAATATTATTGTCTCTTAGGTCTATATTTTCAGTCAAAGACATCACAGATATCGATATGAATTTACGACCCATGGTCTGGGAACCTACATAGGCATTATATTTTCTAGGTTTTTTGTTTTTTAAAAAAAATTTTGTTTGTTTTGTTTTGTTTTGTTGTTGTTTCTTTAGAAATATCAACCTAATAATACATATGCATTAAAAAAAAACGGAGCTACCTTTTTAATAGTTATTTTAAAAAAAATTGAAACTAACGCTTTGTTAAAATTTCTCATACACTGTAAATATTTCGTGACGGTTTTGAAACTAGAATTTGCGCACTGTAATAGCGTAAGTTCACACGAGAAAATTACTTTTAAATTAGCGTCAAATTTTTGTGTGAACGCACTATTTTGTGCGTGTTTTCCATTTATTATTTTTAATTTAAAAAAAAAAAAAAATTTTGTGAACAAAAATTAGAATT